GGGTTGAACACGGAACTGACCCAATGCTATTTGACCTGACCCATTTTTACAAAAGGGTTATAAAATGCAACCCAGACCCTAACCATTCGGTTTCTGAGTTGACCCGACTTTACACGAAACGAGTTATGGCCGAAGAAGCACATGAATGGGAGGAAGGCGACTCTTTTTGTGACTCTCGTCGAAGCCGCAGTACTAAATAGGAAGGGACGTCGTCATCTCATCGAAGCCGGAGAAGAGGAGAATGTCGTCTTATATATATATATTTGTGTGTGTGTGACTTTTTAGAGTTAAATTATGTTGTTAGGACTTAGGAGTGAGAAGTGTTTGGACAATTGTTGATAGCCAAGTTGACTATGGTAGAGAAGAGAATATATTAAAATAAATGCATACTAAGAAGGGATATGATGAAAAGTGATTAGATTAAAGACATGGTGGAAGCAACACCTATAGAAATATGGTTATGAAAATAGACTTAGGTTGTTAGGTGTTAGAATCCAACCGTTCATGGTGCAAAGGATCCGACGATCATAGAGAGCAATCCGTGGGATGCTCTCGTGGATCACGCCATAATGAAGGAACGAATTTAGGAAAGATTTTATTAGAAATTTTATTTATTAAATCTGTAATATATTATTTCCTCATTAAGATATGTTGTATAAATCTATAAATAGGGAAGATTGTAATGAATAAAGCTAGGCTTTTTTTTTTCCGCTCTCGTACCTCTAAAATTAACATGGTATCAGAGCAAGTCGTTGAAGAATGATCGTAGAGGAGGGAGGAGAAAAAGAAGAAGAAGAAGAAGAAGAAGAAGAAGAAGAAGAAGAAGAAAGGCTCGATCCGGGCTCCAGACGCGAGAAGCGATGCTCGACGCTCGGACACCCTAGCCCTGCCTCTTGCTCGAACTCAAGAGAACAGCAGGAAGGCTGTTCAACCGACCTTCACCAGACCCAAAGTCTGTTGACGCCGCCTCCGTGCATGGCTCCTCCGACCTAGCCCGATCGAGCTTCTCCCAATCCAGAAGCCCAGCATCCGAACAAAGAAGACACGAAGAAGACACAAAGCCCAACAGCCGAACGAAGGCGTACCGACCCGAAGCACACAGATTCGTGCAGTGCAAGCCGATCTCCTGCTTACGACTTAAAGGGCTAAATCGTGCGACTCTGCGTGTGCCCTAGCCACCCGATCCTAGTCTTGTTTTAAGACTTGGCTCAGCCGGTTATTTAAACCAAGAAGAAAAAAAATTATATATTGGCCTTTATTGTCGACAATTAAAAATCAGAAGGATTTTTTTTCAGGAAGCCTTCGTTGCTATCCAAGATCGTATAGATAGTCTTTATTACTATCATCATGTTAGAAGTCAATTCCTCCCAGAACATTGACCAAATTGAGGAGTCGATGGTGCACCAAGGACGAGGTGACCTTCAAAGCATGCAACCTTCCTATCGTCTAAATGGGAAAAACTACCTAAAGTGGTCTCAATTTGGGAAGACCTACTTGAAGGGGAAAGGGAAAATACATCACCTCCTTGGAGGATGACCAAAAGAAGGAGATCCTAAATTTAGGGTATGGGATGAAGCAGACTCCATGATTATGTCATGGTTGTGGAATTCCATGACTCCAGAAATTAGTGATACATTTATGTTCCTTTCGACTGCAAAGGACATATGGGATGCTGCCAGACAGACCTTCTCCAAAGCTCGTGATGCGGCTCAAATCTTTGAAATTAAAGTCAAAGTTGGAAGCATAAAGCAGGGGAGTAAGACCGTGACGGAGTATGCCACCATTCTACAAAATCTTTGACAGGAACTTGATCACTATAGGTGTATAGAAACCAGATGTCCGGAAGATGCTGCGATCCTAAAGAACTTTACTGAAAAAGATAAGAGTTTATGATTTTCTCGCAAGATTAAATGCAGAATTTGACCAAATTAGAGTCCAGATCCTCTGCAAAGAGGAGACACCATCACTCAATGAAACTATTTCTCTCATCCGCGCAGAAGAAAGCCGACGAGGAGTGATGTTAGAACCAAAGGTCGTTGAAAGTTCAGCAATGGTGATGACCAAAGAATCATCATGGAATGAGAAAGGTAAAGATTCTTCAAAATTTAAAGACAAAAACTCACTTTGGTGCTGTTATTGCAAGAAATCAAGATACACCAAGGAAAATTGCTGGAAGATACATGGAAAACCCCCCCCAGTAATGAGTGGAATTAAAGAATTGAAACAAGTCAGCCCAACCCAGAAGCGCAGTCCGGTCTTGAAGAATTCAATAAAGAAGATATTGATAAACTGAGACGACTCCTGGTATCTCTTAAAAAACCAAATGCATCCTCTTCACTTGCACTCACAGCACTAGAAATTGGGGAAGATGATTGGTCGTGCTAAGGAGAGAGTTGGATTGTACCACCTGGAAGAACTGTACAAAGTTTCCACTATCAGCATTTATTGCTGATATAACCAAATCAGCCTTTATTGCTGATACAAGCAAATCAGCCTTTATTGCTGACATAATCAAATCAGCCTTTATTGCTGATCAAATCATCCTTTATTGCTGGTCAAATCAGCCTTTATTGCTACTATAACACAATACAGCCTTTATTGCTGGAAACCTGAGGAATACAAAATTCCCATCACCGGCCTTCATTGTCGAAATTTTGAGGATAGGTTCTCATCACCGCCTTCATTGCCGTCTTTCTCTTGTGGTTGTTATCCTATCTATAACCAATGCAGCCTTCATTGCTGCCCTGCTTGATATAGCCTTCATCGCTATCATTTGCTGTTGTCATAATATCTGAAGCTAAAAGAGGGCTATATGGTGCACCAATGAACTTGATAACTCTACTTTGTGTGATTAATTACCAAGCTGGAAATGACATATTTGTATTACCAGCTTGAGGGGGAGTATTAGAATCCAACCGTTCATGGTGCAAAAGATCCGACGATCACAGAGAGCAATCCATAGGATGCTCTCGTGGATCACGCCATAATGAAGGAACGAATTTAGGAAAGATTTTATTAGAAATTTTATGTATTAAATCTGTAATCTATTATTTCCTCATTAAGATATCTTGTATAGATCTATGAATAGGGAAGATTGTAATGAATAAAGCAAGTTTTTTTTTTTCCTCTCGTGCCTCTCAAATTAACATTAGGTTATGTGCAGTGGAGGGAAAGTGCATCAATAAAATAATTAGATCAAATAAGTTTATTTGGATTAATAAGGAAAATGTTTAGACCAAAGGTAATATGGCTTGACAAAGAAGTGTGTAAAAAGGAGTTAAGGCCTCATGTAACACTTAATGAGAAAGATGATTAGTCAAGGTTCATGAATCGGACTTAAAGTAGTTGGGATAAGGTTTGTAGTGAAGATGGTGATTGAAGGTGGAGGTTGTGCCATTGATGCAATAAAAAATTTGGGAGAGGGACCCAAATTTTTTATCACAAAAGAGATTACCTTTCTAAGAATAAAAGAAACTTACAAAACTTATAATAATTAGACAAATTAAACAAAACAAAACACATTCATAAGCCTTTCAAGCTTTAAAAAAAAAAATCACTGGTAAGAAATACCGTAAGATTTAGAGTTTTTATGCAGTTATTTAACAGTAAAACTAAAAAGAAGTGAAAAACAGTACCTTGATGGCTTGCTTTCTCAGATGTACCAAAGAAAAGACAAGAACTTTGTCGGCGAATACAGTCATCGACTCACCGTCCTTCGTCCCGTCGCCAGCTGCCGACCTGCCGTGAACAAGAAAGCAGAGTCGATTCCACAGGCAGAGCAAGGATATTGTTTCCAGGTCTCCGGTCAATTTCCTTGTACCTTTGCTAACGACTAACCCGCTTCAGAGAATCGGAGTTCGGCCTCCAATTTTTTTCACGTGAAACGAGGTGAAGTGAAGTCTAATCTAGAGGCGTGAAGCTTCTTCAGTCCATAAGTGTGAAAGGAGGCGAAATGATATTTTCAAATTTGCAATTCCCTAGTCATGAAGCAACTGGCGGGAACAATAAAAATATGCATTTAATGGTAATTAATTAGCTATAAACAAAATTTAATTAAGCTTAAATTGAAACTGGCGGCCTTCTGATGACTGGATTTACTCTTAGAGATAGGATATGAAATGAGCATATATGTGAAAATGTTAGAGCAGCTCCAGTGACAGATAAGATTAGAGAGAGTCACCTTAAATGTTTAGACCAACGGTAATATGGCTTGACAAAGAAGTGTGTAAAAAGGAGTTAAGGCCTCATGTAACACTTAATGAGAAAGATGATTAGTCAAGGTTCATGAATCGAACTTAAAGTAGTTGGGATAAGGTTTGTAGTGAAGATGGTGATTGAAGGTGCAGGTTGTGCCATTAGTACCTATTCTTTAAGAAAGAAAATAATAAATCAGTTTCAACTAAGAAAATATTATTTCATATGATTTATCTTTGAAAGGGAAATTGGTGTTCATCTTATTTACTTTGTTCAACTAATTTTTCTATATAATCTTTTGGATGTGTGAAAACATATCAATTTTTGAGTTTTCTACCACTGCATTCAATTCAGCAAAACAAAATGATCAAACCTTGTTTGAACCTACCATCTATTTGAATATCTTCTGTAATTATATTTCCACGGGTCTTCTGTGTTAAAGTTGATTTCTAATTGCTCTTTCGTAGAAGAATCCTGTGTGGTTCAATTGTTGCTTTTATGTTTATTACCTTTTGGTTATTTTGCATTCAACGTGATCATTGATATTTAATAATTTGCCGCCATCATCTTAATACTATTTCCTCTTTTTTTTCTCATAACAGTTCTATTATTTTATTTGTACTTGAGAAATTTAATTTTTCCTGCAATGCATCAAGTTATACCTTTCATACATCATCCTTGTGTTATTTCAAGCACTAACCAGCCTTCTACTATGAATTTTGTACGAGTAGATGCAGTTCCGTAGTTTAATTTCATCTCATACCTATATTTTAACTAGTCAAATTTTGCATTTCAAAATTTGTTAGGATGCAACTTGTGGATATTCTGAATAGCCTCAAAGAAAAGCCAGATGTTGGAACACTACTATTGGTATTTATTCTACTTCATTTTTTATACTCATTGGATATTGTAAATTTCAGAGTTTCTCTTCTTTAGCAATTATAATCTTAAGTAGTCATGTACATAACTTCTGTTTCTGATTGATGCTGCATCTTAATATATGAGGTGCATGCTAATCAACTTGATGAAAACATGTTACCTTTGTAAGAGTTTTTTCCCTCTAAGTTCTTGCCATGTTACCCAGGGTTTGTCCTCTTTTTAATCATTCAACATTATTCTATCTACCTATCATGCTGGTGCATTGGTTGCCCTCTTTTTAAATGCCCAAGGCACCTACATATTTGCTCCGAGAAAAGGATCAAAATGGTCTCTTGTCTCTTCATGAAAGATCAAAATAGTCCTCAACTATATCAAATGTTCATTTTGGTCCTCAACTCTTTAAAAAAGAACCAATATAGTTGCACCATGGGACTAATTTGATTCCTCTTTAAAGACTCGAGGGATCAAAATGATCATTTAAAATAGTTGGGGACCATTTTGATCCTTCATAAAAAATTAAGAGACCATTTTAGTCCATTTTTCTATTTGCTCCATTAGTTCATCTTCGGTAGATGCTACCTTAGTTATTTACCTAATATAATTGTATTCAACTCCATCCATCCTAATTTAATCACATGTTCACCTTATTTTTTTGCTTCACTCAACATAGTTGTTAGCATTTCTTTTGTTATCTAACACAAAACTATATGGCATAATCAATCTGTTTGCGTTTAATAAAATAAATCTTTAGGTCTCCTAGTATTCTCTTATCACTCTGTAATTTTGAGTTGCTCTTTTATTTGTTTTATCCAACTTTAGCTTATGCAGTTATGCCCTCATTTGTATTTCTATTTTTTAATACTATAAATTAAAGGTACTTAAATCTATCACACCTATGTATTATCGAATTTTCTAACAATATTGTGTAAGAATTATCAATTTCACATACACCGAATTTCCTATCATTTACTTGATATTAGTTCTACTAATCATAAACCCCAAGTCTTCTAAAAATTTTCATTTTTTTAAACTTTTAACTTACATAAAAATGTTGTCGCTATAACATTTGGTGATATCATACCAGAAGTTACCTCACCGTGAATATCTTTTGTGGATTTCTATTTTCAATATTAAAAGTGATCAACTTCAAACTAATCTTTGGTGTAATATTGATACGCCCAACCTAGTTGGCTGACCCTACTCGGGCCGAACCAGCCATATGGCTGGGCGGAACCAAGGGCAGCAGGAGGGGGAAGTTTGGTTCTTCTTGTGGGATCCAAGGGAGCTATTATTCATTATGTAAGGAGGAATTAAAGAGGAATAGGAAGGTTTTAATTTTGGAAAAGATGACTGATTTGAATTAAGAAATGTTTTATTCAGGGAAAGAGTGCTGATTTGGATTCCGATTTGGGAGGGAAGTAGGAAGGATTATATTAGGGTTAATTGTTGTTTTACTTTCATTTTGAGATTGTGTTTGCTGTAGTTCTTTTTTGAAGTTGTTTCTAATGCCGGCTAGGTTTTGTGGGAGAGCCGATCTAGCTCTTACATTATAAATCAATTGCATCTTTCGTTATTGTTGGAGGAGTAATAAAAAATCATCCCCCATACCTGTGTTATTGCAATTTCTTCTTATCTAATTTGTTATTTTTGCTGCCAAGTCGCTTCAAATACTATGATTGGAAAGACTATGGCAACTATTGGAACCCATAGGTGATATAGAAGGAAGTATAGGACCATGGGCTTATGGTTGAAAGGAATGGTTGCTAAAGAGGAAATCCATGACATGATTTTGGTGTGAAAGGCATATTTGGATGTTTTGGATTTATAGCTAGGCATATTTGTATGTTTTGGATTTATAGCTAGGCATATTTGTATAAAGTGTAAAGGTTCTCCTATGCATACAACTGATGGGGACATCAGATCATGGAAGGTTTATCAGAGGCATGGCCGCCGATATACGACCACGATTGAGTCATTGTACTTTTGATTTATTTTATGTATTTTCTTATGTCGTTGTATTTGTTTTATTTAATTTCCCGTTTTACCCTTTTATTAAGGGATATTGTATGTAAGCCCTGAGGGCATTTTCGTCTTTTCTACTTTGAGTCCTATGTACGTCTCTTTCGAAGGGAATGAATGATCAAATAAAATTTTCGTTTCTCTTGTTTGACTTCTCATGAGAGCTTGAGAGTTTGGAGTGAAATCCCTAGGAGAGGGAGAATTGCGTAACACCCACCTTCCTAGAGGAGTCGGGTTCGTGGTTTCTTCCCTATCTCTTTCTTTTCCCCCTCCCACCACCACCACCGGCCATCATCGCATCCAAGCCCCTTCTCCCTCCCCAAGCCATTTCTCCTTACTCGACCGAGCTCCACAAACACCCCAACTAGCCGCCGGCCCCATACCCGAATCCAATCCACCCGCCGGCCCTAGCCCCCCCTTTCCTCTTTGATTTCCATTGCCTAATTTGGATTAGAATAATTGGGACAGATTTTGAATTCAAATTCAATCAATTTGTAATTTAAAATCTTTTTTAAATTATTAAATCTATTTTAGGAAAGTTTCAAATTAACCCTATTTGAATTTCAAATTTAAATTGGATTTAATTTAATTCTGTCCTAATCCCTAAACCCCAAATAGGAAACCCCCAATCCCTTTCCCCAATCTCCTCCCAACCTCTTGTAGTCTCCTGTCCCTCCCACAGCCCCTCAATGTGAAGCCGCGGGCCGAACCCCTGGAAACAAACAGCCCCCCGACACACCCCCCCCCCCCCCCCCCCCCCCAAAAAAAAAATAAAAAAATAAAATAAATAAAAAAATCCACTGGATTTATCGTTCCTAAACATCCCAGTCCCACTGCGTTAACATATTTCAAAAACACCCAAGCCCCTTTTGGGCCACTCATGAATACTTTCCAAAATCTCATCTTTGATTTTGGAAATAAATCCCAAGTCTACCCCTCTCTCACCATGCCGCCGGCCCCCTTAACCTAGCAGCCCCTCTCTCTCTCTCTCCACTCCCTCTCTCCCTCATTAATTCCCCTCCCCGGATTTTAGGAATTAAATTTTCCCTCTTAATTTTCTATTCTCTAATTTAAAAAATCTGAAACTTATTTCAGATTTTGGAAGGGAAATCTTTCCATCAATCTACTCTGAACTCCACTAGTAGCTATCTTTCTTTGGCCCGACCCCCCCGCCTCATCCCTACTTCAAGTTGAAGAGAAACTTCTTTCTCTTCAACGACGATCAAGAATACTAGCCATCTTTGGAAGACATCGTCATCTAGCATTCATGAATGGCCGATCCCGACATTGATTACGGACTTGCGTACGACGAATTTGGTTTCGTGCATATTCTCCATTCAACCTTCTTCGACGTCAACCCGAGGATCGACTATACGGTTGAGGATTACATAGATCGCATCTTGGACACCTTGGTTGAAGCAATTGAAGAATAACTTGAAATCGTCGAGTGGAGAATTGCCGCCGATCCTTGACGAATGTTTTCTACTTTTCCCTTTTCTCATATTTCTTTAGTCTAACTTTCTCTTGTGATTTGATTGTAGTCACGAAGGATTTGTCAGCCCGATTCTGCTAAGCTTAGTAAACGTAGGAATTTGAGTTCACTTCTTTGTTTCTAACTCTTATTGTTAGACTAGGGATTTTTGTTGAGACTACTATCTTGGCATGATGTTATTTTCTACTTTATTTTGAAGCTTCAAATCTTTTGATATGTAACTTAGCCTAAACGGGCGTGACCCCTCTTACGTTTTGATTCGTTGTTTTAATTGCTAATAGCTTTCTTTGTTATTTCTCTAATCAATAAGTTGTGCAAACCCTTAATAAAATCATTGTCATCATCATAGTTCTACATCAACAACTATAAAGGATTCATGTAGCCAACCCCACGTAGTGGGACAAAGCCTTGATGTTGTTGTTGTATTGGTTTAGGATGGTATACTTATTTTATCTCTGGATTAGTCTATATATTACTTTTTTTCAAATCTTTTGAATCAATAGGAAATAATTTATTCCGGTTCTCCATATGTGCATCAGAACCTTGAACTTTTGTCTGATATCCTATTCTATCTTGGCTTTCATCGCACAACACAATTTTGGTTTTCATTGGTGTGACCCTTCGTAACTTGGCTGTCATCACCCAATGTAGAGCCTTAACAGTTTTGTCACTTGTCATTACTATTTTAGATCTCCATGATATTGATGATCTTTGTTCTCATCAGTCTTTTGTCATCAGGATATCGCTCTCCATTCTCAGATACATTTATATCTTGAGTAGTCTCAATGTTACATCTATCTGTGCTCCACCATTTCTTTATTTTGTCATCGATGTCAATTACACCAATATCGATCTTGTAATTTCATCTCTACTTCCCCCTTCTTGGTTGTCAACTCCACTCAATGATATCTTCTTGATATTGACGTCTGGTTGCTAATCACCTCGTGTTGACTTCCTGTGGTGATATGATCCTATCACAATCTTCTCTAGCTGCAGACCACCAGACCCTAAGTGTCGCGCCAATCGTATCTATTTCAAAACTGCAACAACCTTCCTCTGCTCTAGTAGTATTTCTCCAGAGCCGCATCAACTTCGTCTCTCGTATAATTCTAGATTTTTTCCACTACACTTTTTCAATTCGTTTCCTTATTCTAAGATTTGTAACCCCATTCAATCCCCATGGAAACATCAGGAATCATGGCGTCAAATAACATAAAATCAATCTGACGAGGTAAAGTCACATCAAGTGACTGGAGATCTATAGAATGTTTGATCTTTATATAGGTTAAATGATAAAATTTGCCTCAAGTGGTAACAATTTATCAAAACATACTTGAAGGAAAAATAGAGGCTTAATCACCTTCTAGGTAAATGACAAAAGAGAGGCGATCCAATATTTAAAGACCGGAATGTAATAGTTTTCTAAAGTAAGTCAGGGCCATAGATTAGTGATTCATCTATGTTCCTAGTACTATGGAGA